TGTGGTATAAGCTCCTAATTAATGTATATGGCTTTGGGTTTGTGTGGTATAAGCCCATAATTAATGTATATGGCTTTGGGTTTGTGTGGTATAAGCTCCTAATTAATGTATATGGCTTTGGGTTTGTGTAGTATAAGCCCATAATTAATGTATATGGCTTTGGGTTTGTGTGGTATAAGCCCATAATTAATGTATATGGCTTTGGGTTTGTGTGGTATAAGCCCATAATTAATGTATATGGCTTTGGGTTTGTGTGGTATAAGCCCATAATTAATGTATATGACTGGGTTTGTGTGGTATAAGCCCATAATTAATGTATATGGCTTTGGGTTTGTGTGGTATAAGCCCATAATTAATGTATATGGCTTTGGGTTTGTGTGGTATAAGCCCATAATTATTGTATATGGCTTTGGGTTTGTGTGGTATAAGCCCATAATTAATGTATATGGCTTTGGGTTTGTGTGGTATAAGCCCATAATTAATGTATATGGCTTTGGGTTTGTGTGGTATAAGCCCATAATTAATGTATATGGCTTTGGGTTTGTGTGGTATAAGCCCATAATTAATGTATATGGCTTTGGGTTTGTGTGGTATAAGCCCATAATTAATGTATATGACTTTGGGTTTGTGTGGGCGGAATTCACGAATACTGCAAGTGTTTGCTGGTTTACCAATGATGACAAATGGTTTACCAATGACCATTATAATAGGGAATCTTCAGAAGGCCTAATGGCTCGTGCAAGGCAACTTGTATTTATACCCAACAAAACTCATTCACATGTATCTAACCTACGCTTGAAACAGTCCAGTGATCTTCCGTCCGTTATGTTACCCTGCAATTTGTAACAGAAATCAACACCCTAATGGTTGAAAACATTACCTGTGGCAGAAAAGGGTTTACCTATGGTAGAAAAGGGCTTATACCCATGGCTGGAAAAGAATACCTATGGTTACAAATGGTTTACTTATGTCAACACATGGATTACCATCGGTAGGATATGGTTTACCAGCGACTGGGAATACTTTACGTATAAGGCATTGAAACTTAGCAGCAGGAGAATGGATGCAGCACTCCAGGGATGGATGCCTCCAGCCCTTGGGTATTTCAGCACTAACTTACTCCTGCTGGGTAGTTATTTATACTCACCCAACACCTGACTGGCCTGCCGCGTCTGGAAGCGAAGGCTAGCCAATGTTGACAAGTGTTCCTGCTTGTCGGTTCCCTGATCACGGCAGTTGTCGGCGTTTTGGCATCTATCGCAGGCTTCGTTTTCCGAAATGTCACGAACGTTTGCGACCAGGAGAAAATTAATCAGGTAATTTAAGGTTTTATAAGGTGAATGTTTGATAGGCGTGTCTGGAGAAGCCAGTGGAAGCCCCGCCCCTGCGGAGACGAGGAAGAAGCCAGGGCCGCCACCAACAGGATATCACTAGCAAATCTGCGTTCCTATTCTTACCTAAACCCTTAATAATGTAATATATTCATATTTGACAGTGTTCCAGAGATTAGGACGAGTGTTCTACTATAAAGAACGACGCATTGCTGAATATAGCGGAATCTTGCATGCCAATTTTCGCACATCGGCCACAGCGCCACCGGCTGGGCCGACAGGAGTCGCCGGCCGGCTTTCTGCAATCATAAAAATTCGTGTAAGAACGGATTGTTGCACATTTAGGATTATTTAGGCAAATTCGTCCTTGTTTCATCCGAGTGTAGAGCTTGACAAGCAATCTCTAGTTAGCGTCAAAAGGGAGAAAATCTGGTGGAGAGAGAGACAGATGTCGCTGTAGTCGAGCCGGCATGCGCGCGCAGGGCGACTCTAGGCGGGCGAGCGGCGGGGAGGAGAAGAGTCAGTGTGGCGAGAGGCAGCCGCGGAGTCGAGTCATGGCCGACCCGCCGCCCCCTGCCGCCCCACAACCCCGCGGGGAGGGGGCCTTGTCCCCCTTATCCGGCTCGTATCTCCTCATCGTAGTGGCCGAACCACACGTGGAGCAACACAAGGATACTATTCTCAGCAGAATCTCAAAAGGTAAGTCAGGATATTTTTACTGGGAGTTTAAAGTGGAGTGGATTACCAGGTGGGGTGAGGCCGCGCCCAATCAATGCTGCCTGCCACGTGAGGCGACCCCAGCCGGCACCCCTGGCTGATGTCAGCTGATTGTGGCACCGCGCTCACTCCCGATATCTTCATCTGGCACCCAGCAAGTTACCTGTTATCTCACCTGGACCGTGGGAAGACTCGTGCGCTCGTAGGGTGAAGCAAGATGGCGCGCGGTGGGTGCCAGGCTCGCTGGAAGCCTCCTCGTGGGTGAGGAATGGGAGGAGGGGGGCGGGGCGGTAAGTGTGGCCCCCCCCCCCCCCGGCCGGTGATTTGCGATCCTGGAGGCCCTGGTGCCAGGCTCTGAAGAATGGGGGACGGGAGAGTCGTTATGGGCGGCACTGCGGTAATGCGGGGTCATGGGTGGCACTGCGTGGGTGGGTGCCAGACTCCCATGATTGCCGGGGTGACAATCAATACTGGAGTGACGCGTTGCCCGCAGTGCTGCCCCTCCCCCGTCGCCACCCACCGCCACCCACACACACACATACACGATAATTTACCTTCACAATATATTCTTAACGGCCCGGTAACGTCAGGAGATAAACGCAACTGCCCATCACACCGGAAATGGAGCAGTTGGCACACTTGCCGGGGTAGTGAGGTAGGCGTTGACCTTGAAATGCTCCCGGCTGCATTCCTATTTCATGAACTGCCAAACCGCTTCCACTCTCCCCCCAAAGAGCCTACGGCTGGAAACCCCGAGATGATTTTCCAGGAATATGCCCCACGGCTGTAGCTTACAGGGTGAAGCTCCGCCACCAGGCTGTCTGGCCTTGACGGGGGAGTCGAACCGAGGCTGCCACAGTGATGGATCACGCCGTTTCACGAAGAGGAAGAAACTCTTGCCAACTTTCTAACTACAAACTGAATTGTCCGGAGAAAACTTTCGAGTTAGACAAATCTGAAGACGAGAAACGTCAGCTGCTTACCCATTATTAGGGTGTAAACGACAGCACACACTTTAAACGGAGAATTAAATCCCATGAAGAGAGTGAGCAATCATATTAGTAACAACCCAGTGCCTGGTCACCCATAATTCGCTGACACACTGCTGACGCATAATTCGCTGAATGCACTGAAATATTCACTCGCATATTTCCAATCTTGTTTGTTTGCTGTTGCCGCACAAGCCTTCCTTCGTTTGTCCAGACAATAATATAGAAACTAAGAAGAGGATGATTGGTGATTGAGGATAAGGGACAGACGAAGCCCCTGGTAGACAAGTACACAGCGTAGGGACAGATAGGGATGGTGTTTCAGGCCTGCAGGAGGGAGTCAGGCCGGGCTCTGGCTCCTGGGCGCTAATTACTGAGTGTTGCCATTAACTCCTGCAGAAGGGGAACGGTGGGAAGGTCGCCTCTGGTTAAGAATGTAACCTTTACTCTGTGATGTGGTGAGGGGGCAGTGTGTTATCCTGCCCCTGCTGCTGTAGTAGGGATAACGATGTATTACCCTGGCCCCCCTGGCTACTGTCGTAGAGGGAAAGAGGGTGGTGAGCGACAATATATCACCCCTGCCAATATAAATTGATATAAATATCATATAAACTTCATATAAATTGATGTTTAACCCGTAGGGATAAACATCAATTTATAACCCCTAACCACCCCCCACTCCCTCCTCTGTTTGTCGTAGTAATCAGAGCGTCAAATATTACCTTGTCGTTGGACTGGTGACATTAACATCACAACGCTGCCATTGTACCGTAACCAGTTTTTTTGTCACGAGTGGCCACTACGGGCTGATGATTCACTCTGCTAGCCAAGTCTACACTGCTCTTGCTCCCTGCAACGGGGCAACCCCCTCCCTAACATCCTCCCTTAAACAACGGCATGTGCAACTCTCAACATGAAATCCAAAAAGATGTTTATTGGAAACGCTTCAAGGTAAAACAGGGCAAAGAGAGATTTATACACACAACAGTAATTCAGTGAGAAGCTGTTTCAGTGTTTAGAATGAAACGAGTATATGTATTGTTGACCAAACCACACACTAGAAAGTGAACGGACGACGACGTTTCGGTCCGTCCTGGACCATTCTCAAGTCGATATACATTGGATGATAAATCAAGTATTCCGGTTAGCGCTTGTGGGATATCTGAAAGCATTGTTTTTGAGATATCTGGGAAAATTGGTCTTGGGGTGTCTGGAACATTGTTCTTGGCGTAACGGGAACATTATTCTTGGGAAATCTGGGAACACTGTTCTTCGGATGCTAGGGATCACTGTTCTTGGAAAATCATAAACAATGTTCTTGACGTATCTAAACATTCTTATTTGGGGTATCTTGGGAAGTATGTTCTTAGAATGTATGGAAAAGTGTTGATAGATGAAAACATACAAATGACTTTCAAAGAAGGGGAAAACATACCCATGACTACAAAGCTAAAGAAAACACACATACCAAAGAACTGGATAAAATATATACATGTGACTATCAAAGAAAAGACATACACATAACTCCCCACAAGTCGGAAGAAACATACACACAGCTGCTAGAAATACAGGGGTGAAAAAACAAGTACGGTACATGTGTCACCTCAGTTCTGTTATTAAGGCAAAGACAAGAACATCCGGCCGATTAGTTTCGGATGATCGCCTCCCCTGCGGCCTGCACCTATCATTCTGTATCTAAGAGGAGACACCTCTTAGATACAGAATGATTAGATATAGATTAGTAGGTCTACCTCTCTTAGGTCTAGCACTCTTAATAAACTAGAAAATCATCCATGTAATCCCATGTCTCCCAAAACAGCTAAATATAATTATCATTATTATATTTCTAACATGTATATATACATGAGTGGTAAATAGGAGGCGTTTGTTACGTAATGTGATGAGTTTGATGGTAGCGCCGGGCCATGAGGGCATACTTAATGCTGTCTCATCACATGTATACTCACGTCAAGCAGCTGATAATACTTATGTATCCAGCGTGCCATGAATTCAAGGTCTTTGGGGACATTTGAGGGGACTTGACGACCCCTAGTTTACCTGGCGCCACCGGAACCAATGTTTCATTGGTCGTTAACACTATGGTGCTGTGACGTGCTGTCGTGGTGTTGTCACATGCTGTCATGGTGCTGTTACATGTTGTCATGGTGTTGTCACATGCTGTCATGGTGTTATATGCTGTCGTGGTGCTGTTACATGCTGTCATGGTGTTGTCACATGCTGTCATGGTGTTATATGCTGTCGTGGTGCTGTTACATGCTGTCATGGTGTTGTCACATGCTGTCATGGTGTTATATGCTGTCGTGGTGCTGTTACATGCTGTCATGGTGTTATCACATGCTGTCATGGTGTTGTCAAAGGCTGTCATGGTGTTGTCACATGTTGTCATGGTGTTATATGCTGTCATGGTGCTGTTACATGCTGCCGTGGTGTTGTCACATGCAGTCATGGTGTTGTCAAATGCTGTCATGGTGTTACATGTTGTCATGGTGTTGTCACATGCTGTCATGGTGTTATATGCTGTCGTGGTGCTGTTACATGCTGTCATGGTGTTGTCACATGCTGTCATGGTGTTGTCACATTCTGTCATGCTGTTATATGCTGTCATGGTGTTGTCACATTCTGTCATGGTGTTGTCACATGCTGTCATGGTGTTATATGCTGTCGTGGTGCTGTTACATGCTGTCATGGTGTTGTCACATTCTGTCATGGTGTTGTCACATGTTGTCATGGTGTTATATGCTGCCATGGTGCTGTTACATGCTGTCATGGTGCTGTTACATGCTGTCGTGGTGCTGTCACATGCTGTCATGGTGTCATATGCTGTCATGGTGTTATATGCTGTCATGGTGCTGTTACATGCTGTCATGATGTTGTCACATGCTATCATGGTGTTGTCACATGCTGTCATGGTGCTGTGACGTGCTGTCGTGGTGCTGTCACATGCTGTCATGGTGTTATATGCTGTCATGGTGCTGTTACATGCTGTCATGGTGTCACATGCTGTCATTGTGCTGTTACATGCTGTAATGGTGCTGTTACATGCTGTCATGGTGCTGTTACATGCTGTCATGATGTTGTCATGGTGTTATATGCTGTCATGGTGCTGTTACATGCTGTCGTGGTGCTGTCACATGCTGTCATTGTGCTGTTACATGCTGTAATGGTGTTGTCACATGTTGCCATGGTGTTATATGCTGTCATGGTGCTGTTACATGCTGTCATGGTGTTGTCAAATGCTGTCATGGTGTTTTATGATGTCATGGTGCTGTCACGTGCTGTTATGGTGCTGTCATATGCTGCCATGGTGCTGTTACATGCTGCCATGGTGCTGTTACATGCTGTCATGGTGCTGTTACATGCTGTCATGATGTTACATGCTGCCATGGTGCTGTTACATGCTGTCATGGTGTTGTCACATGCTGTCATGGTGTTGTCACATGCTGTCATGGTGTTGTCACATGCTGTCATGGTGTTGTCACATGCTGTCATATTGCTGTGACAGGCTGTCATACAACTATCACATGGTGTTACATGCTGTGTGATGAAAGTCATGTCGCTGTGTGATGCCGAGCTGGTGAGGGTTCGAGGTCCTCGTTCGTTATTATGTCGTTCGTTCACCGACCTTTCACGCTCCCAGCTTTCACCTTGAAGGACTCAGACGTTGTTGGTGTAAGTCCGAGTGTGTTTACACCCTCACGGGTTCAGGGGCTCGCTCGTTTTCGTTCGAGTGTGTTCGCTTCGGTCTATACCTCGTCGAGTTGTTCCCGTTCTCGCTCGCCCATTCGTTCGCTGTCTGAGCTCGACGGCTTTCTGACACGTTCTCTCTGCTGCTCAAAAATCTATCTTTTGTGTGTCTGCTGGAGGAGGCGGGAGGGGGGAGGCTGCGTGGAACCGGAGTGTGCAGCGGAGAGGAGAGAGAGAAGGGGTGATGAGAGAAAGTTTGTTTGTAAGCAAGTTTCTCTCTCTCTCTCTCTCTCTCTCTCTCTCTCTCTCTCTCTCTCTCTCTCTCTCTCTCTCTCTCTCTCTCTCTCTCTCTCTCTCTCTCTCTCTCTCTCTCTCTCTCTCTCTCTCTCTCTCTCTCTCTCTCTCTCTCTCTCTCTCTCTCTCTCTATCTCTCTCTCTATCTCTCTCTCTCTCTCTCTCTCTCTCTCTCTCTCTCTCTCTCTCTCTCTCTCTCTCTATCTCTCTCTCTATCTCTCTCTCTCTCTCTCTCTCTCTCTCTCTCTCTCTCTCTCTCTCTCTCTCTCTCTCTCTCTCTCTCTCTCTCTCTATCTCTCTCTCTATCTCTCTCTCTCTCTCTCTCTCTCTCTCTCTCTCTCTCTCTCTCTCTCTCTCTCTCTCTCTCTCTCTCTCTCTCTCTCTCTTTCTTGACTCTTAAGTTTAATAATTCTCTCATGTGCTCAAGCTATGTTATGTTTCCTTCCGAATTTTCCTTCCTGTGGATTTTTTCCCCCCAAGAACCCATGTGCGCCTTGCTCTTCACCTCCCTAGTCTTGCCGTCTTCTGCTGTCGTGTCTGTCAAGTCCTGACTTATTCTCTGTCAAGTCCTGCCCTATTCTGTCAAGTCCTACCCTATTCTCTGTCAATTGCTGCACTATTCTGATAAACCAAGAACACTGTAATACATGTCAGTTAATTCTGTTAGCGACAGTTACAGACTCCCAGACCTTGGAAATATATATAAAATGCCATTTACCTGCGAATTAATATCATTAAAATCAGTAAAAAATTTATTGTGTAATAGCAATATGCTGGGAAGGACTAATTTATCTTTAGACTTAGACTAATTACATCCGGAAGGAAAATTGTAACTGCATATTTTAGCTGTATTACTAGTCTATCTATATATCAATCCATTAATGCATATCAACGTGATATTCTTCAGAAACATAATTAAAATGATTTAAATTCAAATTGTCTTTATGTTTGTTAATTGATAGGGCAATTTTTTGTTCTCTAATCTTTTGCTGTAAGGTAAAAGATTAGAAAAGCCAAAAGATTGGTTATCCTTCCTGTTCGTTATACAGGATAGCCAATATAACATGGGGGTGTTTCGACCGCAGCGAAGCTCACCAACCTTGGTTTAACCTTCCGTTTGCCGTTGTTTTGGTGGAAAAGTCTGTTTTATATGGCTTGGTAGAAACCGGTTGTGGTGTCAGCTGGCCGGCTCTGTGGTCGACGGCACGTCGCACGCGCGCGCGGGAGGGCGGGTCCTGTTGTATGTATTTGTAGTTGTAAAAGTATTGTGTTTCTGCGAGTGTGTGTAGTGGGGGTGGGGGGCGGAGGGTGGTGTGTGTGTGTGGGTGTGAAAGCTTAAAAACAGATTAAAGCCTACCAGTTGCCTCTTACCCAAGCCTCCAATGCCCTGAATGGAGAGACAGACACGATTTGAAGCATTTCTGCCTTATGCTTCCGCCTCTCCCCCATCCCCCCCATTCTCCCACACCCCCCATTCATCTTTCTCTCCTTCATAACTCCTCTTCCTCTGACGCAGGCGCCCCACTGTACTTGGGTAAGGAAGGTAAGTGGGGGTGGGGGGTGGGTGCAGGCCAGGCAAGGCCGCAGCTACTGCGCAGCTGTTTATGAGTCACTGCGCAGGTCTCTCGCCGACTTTGTAAACAAACCGCAAATTGCGTGTGTTGCTTCTACTTAGTATCCCTCATTCTTGACACAAACAGTAGTGTAGTCTACTTCATCCTTGACACAAACAGTAGTGTAGTCTACTTCATCCTTGACACAAACAGTAGTGTAGTCTACTTCATCCTTGACACAAACAGTAGTGTAGTCTACTTCATCCTTGACACAAACAGTAGTGTAGTCTACTTCATCCTTGACACAAACAGTAGTGTAGTCTACTTCATCCTTGACACAAACAGTAGTGTAGTCTACTTCATCCTTGACACAAACAGTAGTGTAGTCTACTTCATCCTTGACACAAACAGTAGTGTAGTCTACTTCATCCTTGACACAAACAGTAGTGTAGTCTACTTCATCCTTTGACACAAACAGTAGTGTAGTCTACTTCTTCCTTGGCACAAACAGTAGTGTAGTCTACTTCATCCTTTGACACAAACAGTAGTGTAGTCTACTTCTTCCTTGACACAAACAATAGAATAATACTTATCTGGGCTGTACATTCTTATTTCTAAATTAACATCCGTTGCGTCTCATTTAAGAATTGATATATATATATATATATATATATATATATATATATATATATATATATATATATATATATATATATATATATATATATATATATTGATCACTGCTAGTGTATTTCCTGTTCGCTGACATTGACTCTGTCTCAACTGTTTCTCAAGCAGGTAGTCCTGTTGTATAGTAAATTAATTACATTGGTCAGTTTATTGTGACAATGTTGTGTGCAGGAATATTCGTGTGCGGGCCTTTGACCTCTGGCTGGCCCACTAAGTGATACCCATTTCAGATTAGACGATGGAAGGGTGTTAGAACCCGTATGACGACAACTGAAACTAGTAACATTCCTTCGCCTGTGCCATATTATAAAGCTGTATAAAGTTCATAATTTAAATCTACAATCCATCGTAGAAGCTATTGTATCTGATTGTAGTTAATTTGATGGTCATTTAAGCTACGTTGCAATGCAATATTGAAGTCATCATGTCAAAAGTTAGTTTGTTATTTGCTTATTATAACTTCTGGCACGTGCTTTTAACTAGACGGCGCCTGGATACAGAGACAATAAAGTTATTATTAAGTTCATTCACGTATTCTGGGCGAGTAAACGAGTACCTACCTATCAGTACTCACCTAGTTGTGCTTGCGGGGGTTTAGCTTTGGCTCTTTGGCCCCGCCTCTCAACTGTCAATCATCTGGATGTAGGCTTCCTGAACCTTCTGGGCTCTATCATAGCTACACTTGAAACTGTGTATGGAGTCAGCCTCCACCGCATCACTGCCTAATGCATTCCACCTGTTAACTACTCTGAAACTGAAAAAGTTTATTCTAATGACTCTGACTTTCCCAGCAGTGACCACTGAGGCGTGTGTGGGAATATTGAAAACCGAGACTCGAGAATATAGTGAGACTTTGCTCTCACAATACCTGATATCGGCATAAATTTAGGTGGTTATTGAGTGGAATTTAACTACCATAAGACCGCAACTTACTTTATAAGAGGGGAAAGCGCCAAGCCATTACAACTATATAGCACTTGGAAGGGGTCAGGATAAGGATTTGGGATGGAGACGGAGAGGAAGGAGTGGTGCCCAACTACTTGGATGGTCGGGGATTGAACACAGACCTGCATGAAGAGAGACCGTTTCTCTACCGTCCACCTCAAGTGGTTGGACTCCAAGGAACACAAGTTGAGGTTGATTATAGAGATGTTCAAGTTTTTAATCCTGCGAGCATTTCCAGGTAATCACTGCTAGGTGAATGCATATGTGGACTTGTGCACATGTTTATATTCCAGGATGTTTGGGCCGTTAGCTTCCCCTGGAACAATAGTGAACTGTGAACAAATCCACAAGGGCCGTGACGAGGGTTCGAACCTTCATCCCAGAGGATCCCAGACGCGCCTTAATCTTGCAATCCTCTTGCAGTCGTGGACAGCCACTTTATTGTGGCCTTAGCTGGAAGGGCCACAGTAAAATAGCTGTCACGACTGCAAGAAAAATGACAGATTGCACACACAAGCACTGAAACCCGCCGCTTCGTTACTCCCCCTCCCACGATGGCCTTAAACCCCCTCCCCCCCCCCCATTGAAATCTATGCCAGGCATGAGCCGGGGGGGGAGGGGGTGTAGGGTGGGGGGGGAGGGGTAATTACGTAAATGCAATGTGGTCAAACCTGACAGCTCTCAGGCACTAAACTAGATTTATGCCATCATCCTACCTATTGACCCTACCCCCCTGCCCCCTTCCTTGACACCCCTCCCCTCCTATCCCCTACAATCTTCCCCCCCCCTCTCCTCCCCCCCCCCACTCCTTCCTATCCTTGACCTGTATATAGTGTCCTTGAATATCAACCTGTCGTAATGCCGTCTGGCAATATGTGTGATT